ACAAGTGTTAAAGGCACTTATGGTTGAAGGTATAAATTGGTTTTTAACCTCTGCCTGCCTAATGGAGCCTACCAGCGCCAATCTCTTTTCAAGAAAGTTCTAACGCTTGCAGGGCTCTGCCGCTGCGGGAAGCTATTTCTGGCACATTTATAGAGACTAGTGAGAGGAAATGAGAGAAGGCCTGTGATAACTGAGAACGTTAAATGCCCCTCGGCAAGTGGGAAGGGACGCAGGGTGAAAAACAGATTGACCTTAAATGAAGCTGAACACAATTTTAAGTCTAAAACATCTACATATTAAAATCATCCTGCTCCTGTAAAGGAGACCAGTGGGTCCTCGACAACCTTGCACAATCGTCCTTTTTTTAGGACTGCTAGCAGCGGCAGAGGCATTTTCTGAGGGCCATAAATCTCCCTGGCCTTTCGTTCCCTGACCTGTTAAATGGGGCTGCTGCAAAGTTTAAGAGAGAAAGAAGTAGTTCTGATTTTAGATTCCTTGAACCTGAATAATCGACCCCCTCCCCACCAAAAATCTTGGAGGCATAATTTTGCTGCTTCTTTTGCTAAGTTTTAACATGAAAAAGAGAAAGACTAATAGGTAATATATTAATGTGGTGTCTGCTCTGTGCCGGAGACTATTCTAAACGTTTTACATGTATTAATATAAACTCCTCAACAACCCTGTGAGATAGGTATGATCCTCCTCATTTAACAAACGCAGAAACTGGGTTACTGTTTCAGAGCTGGTGGCAGAGCTAAGATTCAAACTCCAGTCATCTGGCTCCAGGATCCACATGCTCAACAAACAGGAAGTGGTCAGGAGCTCTCACCAATCATTTTCATGAAAGAAAGGAATGTACAAAAAAATAAGAGAATGCCATTCCAAAAAAACAGCATCTCCAAAAACAAAAAAGGACATGGGGAAAAGGGCACCCCCCAAGTTGAAAAGTAAAACTGGCTTTATGCTATGCATTGCACTCATTACAGACCAATGAATATTTATGTGTGGGGACATACAGATTTTCTCAATCCCCAGGTGAACGTCTGGGAACCACTGAGATGCCGTGTATAGAAGGCACTTTGATAACATGCCCTTCAGACATTAATGGTTGCAGCGCTGCTATAAGATCATGAGAGAGGTACCGTCCTCTCCAAGGGCTCACACTGAGGCTCTTAGACAAACCACGTGCCCCACAGGCTGGCCTCACGGATGTGTGCACATCTCTGTGCAGGGCCAGCACTGGCATCCTGTTTCTTTTTGTAACTGAAGTATAGTCAGTTTACAATGTTGTGTCAATTTCTGGTGTACAGCATGATGTTTTAGACATACATACAAATACAAATATTCCTTTTTATATTCTTTTTCATTAATAGGTTACTACAAGATACTGAAAACAGTTCCCTGTGCTATACAGTAGAAACGTGTCGTTTATCTATTTTATATATAGTAGTTATTACTTGCAAATCTCCAACTCCCAATTTATCCCTTCCCACCCCCTTTCCCCACTGGTAACCATAAGTTTGTTTTCTATAGCATCACGTTTTCTGAACAACCTCTAATTGCCCCTTCCATCCTCCCTGACAGGAAGAGCATGTGCAGGACAGCAGGAATCCCCCAGGAAGTGCGAGGAAGTGGTGGCGGGGGCACAGCTCCGACCAGGAGCACATTGGGAAAGAAGCCCCCTCCACCATTCCCAACAAGTTAGACATTCTTTGGCGAAGACAGCAAGGCTCTACAGGAGGTGTTCCCTCCCCGCATCTCATTCTTCTTCCCTCTGATTTTAGAACAGAACAAAAGTTTCACAGATGGGCTTCCAGCCAACAGCTTCAGCGACACTGTGCCTATCAGTCCCTTGGTCTCTCTAGGGAAGGAGTATCTTCAACAATATCAGCTCTGTTTGTGGAGGACGTCACTTAGTTATCCGCTAACTGAGCAGGCAAGCATTATGTTCGGTGTAGATCACACCATCAGCAGCTGGGACACAATGTTGGAATTCTGTCTTCCATATCTTAGGGCAGTTCTTTAACAACTGAACAATTCCTTTGGGGTTTGGGGGGATGTGGCGGGGAAGAAATGGGATGTTTACTGGCTCTATGGAGAGGCACCACAGAACACGGGCAAGAGGTTCTGTTCTGGATTTCAATGATGGAGGTTCCTAAGAGGGGTCAGCAATCCTTACTGCAAAAGGCCAGAGAGTAACTACTGTAGACTTTGTAGGCCACAGAGTCTGCCACAGCTACTCAGCTCTGCTGCCACAGCATAAAGGAGTCCTGGACCACAGATATGTGGATGCGGGTGGCTGTGCACCAATACAACTTGATTTGTAGACACTGGACTTTGAATTTCACATCATTTTTACAAGTCACAAGATATTCTTCTTCTTTTTATTTTTTTTCTAACCACTTAAACATATAAATATGATTCTTAATGTGGGCCCTATAAAAACAGGAAGTGAGCCAGACACGGCCTGTTGCAGGCCATAGTTTACTAAACCCTAGTCTATAATTGCAGCTCTGGCATTTCTTAGGGGTCAAATCTTGGGTAGATTTTGTTTAGAAGCCTCAGTTTCCTCCTCTAGAAAATGGGAACAGCAACAGCGTCAACCTCATCTGGGCTTCCTATGGAAACAGTGAAAGCAAGATGCTCTAGCCCAGGGCGGCTGGGCGTGCACGCAGCAGGCAGTAAACGTGAGCTGTTACTGTCATTTCCCTCCATCTTCAAAACTCTCTGCAGCTTCTGTCAGATGCATCCGGGCTACTATCAAATGGGATCACAGATTCTCATGTCTCTACTAACAAAGAAATATTCTAGAATTTTCATGCTAACATCAGTAGGCTTCAAAAGTTTATGGGGTCCTAAAACATGCCTCAAAGCCTGGAAGCACTCATTTATCAGTTTCCTCCTAGGTCTCAGTCCTTGTCATTCAAGAGCTGAGGACCAAAATGTGAGGTTACCATGCTCCAAACCAGAATAAAGTCGTCCTCGGCATCCATGGGAGGTTGGTGTTCCAGGACCCCACACAGACACCAAAATCCACGGATGCTCAAGTCCCCAATACAAAATGTCACTGTATTTGCACCTAACCTACGCACGTCCTTCTGTATACTTTAAATCATCTCTAGAGCATATATAATACCTCATACGATGTGAATGCTATGTAGCTAGTTGCTAGCACATGGCAACTGCAAGTTTTGCTCTTCAAAACTTTCTGGAATTTTAAAAATATTTTTGATTTGCAGTTCTTTGAATCTGGGACGTGGAACCCATGAAGACCGAGGGCCGGCTATAATGATATTTTCTGAGCACTGACCAGTTCTGATGACCGCTGGCCTCTGCTAAGTGCTTTATGCAGTTCCTTCTCTTCATCTTCACAGCAAGCAAAGGATGCTGATAAGGTGATAAGCTCCAGGCGTCAGAGAAGGAAGGTCAGGTAACTAGGCAAGGCCATGCATGTAGGAACCAGGAATTGTGGGGTTCCTTCCTGAACCATGGCTCTTGCTTTGGAGCTAAGGTGGTCACCTTTTACAGCCCCAGTGCTTCTCTGACTGAACCAGTATCCTGAATGCCTAGGGATTTTGTTAAAATGCTGGTTCTGATTTATTAAGGTCTGGGGAGGTACTGAGATTCTGCATTTCTAGAAAGCTGTCAGGTGATGCCAGTGCCACTGGTCCTAGGACCATAGTTAGAGCAGCAAGGCTCTAGATACACTGGGAAAAGTGCACCTTCCCCATTAATGACCTCAGTGGTCTGCACAAGACAGATCAATGAATATATTTCTCCACGGAGCCAGGCTGCCAAAGTTAGACTCAAAACTCCACCTGGTGCTGGATGTGTGGCCTTAGGGGCAAGTCTCTCAACCTTCCTATGCCTCGAATTTCTTGCCTATAAAGGGATAGATAATAGCTTTTTTCTTATTGGGTTGTGACAATGATTAAATGAGATTGTACGTATACAAAGCACTTAGAGTAAGGTCTCACCCACCGTAAACACTCAACAAATGTAAAATAATCAGAAGATCAGGAAAAATGAAGATCCTTACCAAAGAATTATCTAAAAATACAGTTTGCTCCCCCCGCCCAGCCAATAACTTGCACAGATCCATCCAAAGCCTCCTATCCTTCAAGCCGTTTTACAGTTAAGTAAACCAGACTTGACATCTAGTCAGTCATAAAATTAAATTAGAAGAAAGTTCACCCTGAAAGGGCAGGACCCAAAAGCAAGAAAGAAGCAGCGGCTTCCAGCTCGGTTCATCATTTCTTTATCTGAGGGACATGCCCATTCCCTACACCTCTCCGCACAAGAAACAGTCGCGGGAGCCGGTGACAGTTTCCTAAAGCAACACAAAGCAGAACCACATCAAAGCAGTCTTCTCACGTGGGTCATTTCCGTGTGTCACTGCCATCAGGTAGTGTGTCCCCACGCTTGGTAACCCCCTGGAGTGATTAACCCTTCTAGTAATATGTCACTATTCGACATATGAAGGGAAATGCCTCAGTGTTCTCACCTGTGAAATGAACATTCTGCGAGGTCAAGTTTGTTTTCTTTCTCTGAAATTGTCCCACCTGCTCCTATGAACGATGGCTCATTTCACGCCTCCACCATCTGGCGAGTTCACTGTGCGCTCACCATCACCCTGAGGACTGTGCATGGGTAAAGCACAGTGCCCAGCACACAGGAAGCACTCCATAAAGGATGGTTGTGATTAGAACAAAATCAGGGCACCATCTTTTAAATGAACCACAGGCTGCCCTGACCGTGTCACTAGCTGCTGGAATAGCAGTAGATGGGTGGGATGGGGGAAGACCAAATGGGCACTTGGTTGTAAAATAGCCACTGCCTTTGCCTCATGCGGATTGGCAACTGACCACTCAGGTGAGAAGTACGCAGTAAGGGGCTGGGAGGAAGGGGTGTACGGGCAGCGGTCTTCAGGGTCTATCAGGAAACCACAATTTCTGTGACAGACACTGTGTGTGTCCTGAGCCTCATCTTCCCAGTCCATCTCAAACTTTCAGCTGCAGCTGAAATGCCTGGCGCAGTGGGATGGCCATCAGTTCCTGGAACACGTGGGCAGCTTCCACCCCAACTGCCTGCGGAGTCAGCCTTTCTGCCTCCGGCCAGGGCTTCCTCAGAGGTGGGACTGGGAACAAGTGAAGGACCCTGTTTTCAGAAGCAGCCCAGTCCCACGGGGGCAACCTTCAGCCAGTGGGGAAGGGAAGCCCGTGAGCAGTCCCAGCCTCCCTTCCTCTGACGGGACAATTCTGCAGTGGTTTCAGCGTGGCTCCTCGGAGGCACTCTGGTGGCGTCGGAACTTAGACACCCACAGGGATGGCCAGCTCTCTCCGGCCCTGCACTGCCTTCTCCTCCTCCCCCGCCTCACGCTCCTGCTCCCTCACTCCAGCTTCCTGAGTCCACCTCCGCAACCAAGCCCTTGCCTCAGTCTCTGCTTTGGGGAACCCAAACTGAGACCCCTGACCACCTCAGAGCCTTGTTCAGAGTCCCATCAAGTCCTGAAGAGAATCACAGACCTTGTCGCACTGCACTGTGGCTGCAGAACCAGGAGGTCCATCAAAGCCAGGATCGAGTCTGTCTGATTTACCCAGGAACCACAGGCGCCCTGGTACGGAGGCTCAGTAAGCTGTAAGTTGAGCAGATACCAGCCATACATCTGCTGTCCATGCATCAAGAGGGTCAGGAGGCAACCAGGTCTCATTGACAATTCAGGGAATGCTTCTCTGTTTCAGAAAAGCTTTACAATGAAATTAAGGCAGAGCCATTAGCAGCTGGGGAAACAGACACCTTCTATTAAGCCCACCCACTGCTGCCCCACAAAACACAGCCAGGTTTCCCTGCCTCCTGGCTCACGTCCTCAAAGGAGCTCAGCCTAACTTCTCTGACTGTCCACCAGTGCATTCCACCTGTAGCCTCCTCCTTCCCTATTTCCTCTTTCCCTCTTGATTCACAGCCGTGTATTTCCATCCAGAAACCGTAACAAAGGACTAGATCAAAGAAATTGAAATAAGTAAAGCTGACTGTGCTGCTGTTGCTCCTTTAAATTCTTTCTCCCCCAGGCCTTGAAGCTGGAGGTTGCAAACTAGCTGCCTATGGGTCAAGGGTGGTTGGCAGATATGTTTCTGGGAGGGCCATGCAATGTTCTTAAAGTTGCCAATATTTAAAACTCAGTATAGGGAACATAAAAATTCACATTTCCAACTATTCTTGAAAAATTTAAGATTTGATGACATGCACCACAATTAGCTGGGGTGAGTTTAACCGCTTCCTAGAGATGGACCCAAAGCCCCCTATGTGCTGGGGTCCCCACTATGCCCTTTTAACTCTCACCCTTAGCCCCTTGTCAGTTGCCATTTGTGATTGTGACACACAAAGTTCACTTTGCTCTTTCTTGTTACCTGTCTGGCCTTGAAGGTGAAGGTATACGAGCTTGCTCTGCCATATTTAAGCACTTGGACAAAACAGGTCCCAGCTGCTATAAATGTTCCTTGTGTTTTTAAAAAGCCTCTGGCAAGGGATTCAAGCTTCCTACTCTAATGTTATCAGGACTTGTGCCATTATTTGGAATCCCATCTTGATGTGATGATGATGATGGTGATGTAATGCTAGTCCAGGATAGCAGTTATTCATGGCACACATGCCTGCCTAATCCTACAGATGCCTTTTTAAAAAGAAATTATTACTACTAAGGGATTTGGGAGAGATGAGGAATAAATGGAGCAAAGACAGAAAGGAGAGGCCAGCAGGAGCCACATTTCAGTGATGCTTGCCTTGTCCTTGCTTCCTAAAAGAGGAGAGTAGCCTGGTGGGAAAAGAAAAGAAATCCTTCCCATCCACACTTCAGATTCCGGTTCAGGCAAGAATACAGACCACTTGTTACCACTAAAACTGTAAAATCAAGTTATCCTTGAGCAAGGGGAGAACTTTGAGCACACTGCATGAATCAGCCTGCCTCGGCATGCAGAAAGGACCCAGACAGTTTGCACCAAGTTTATAGATCCATAAACCACAGTAAATTCCCGACTCCTGCAAAGTTAGAAGTTAATACAAAAATTCAAAGGCAACAGGGAGAATAATTCCCATAACCTCCCAGACCTCCAAGACAGAACTCAAATGACTGTGTGAAATACCACTTACTGAAGGACCACCATTCTCGCAACATTCACTCAATCACTAAACAAATATTTTTCTGTGGGCAAGGGACGAGGGATGAAGTAATCATTAAGACAGACATAGGAACACTTTGTGAAGCTTATGGTCTAGCAGAAAAGTCATTAAGTGCACAGCTGCAATTATTTCATGAATGACGAGTGTGACCACGGTAGGAAAGAGAAGCCAAGGTATAGAAACATACACCAAGAGACATAACCTAGGAAGAGGGGTCCTCTGAGGGAAAAGTATTTACGCTTAGGCCGAAAGGGTGAATAGGAGTTGCCCAGGCAAAGAGTCTGTCCATCTTTATTTAGCACTTATTACATGCCTGGTACTGTATCAGGCACTGGGGTTAGGAAGGTGAATTAACAAGAGTCTTTTCTCAAAGAGTTTACAGTCTATTGGGGGCAAACAGACTTGCATTACACCTGTGCTGGGAGGTGACAGGGATTCTTCCTCCCCTGAAACAGATTAAACGGTCATTTTAAAAATGTTCTGATACTAGGAAGAATTCAACCAGAAATCTTCCTAATTGCAAAATGTTCTGTTGTGAGTTCAGAGAAGTTCTCCAATAATTTAATAAAGCAGCTGAAATTGAGAAACTGTCAAACCCCGTAGCACGCCTGGGGTTTCACCAGGATAACAAGGCTTGTTGTCGGCAGATGCACAAGCTCTGGAAGAAAACTCACAGCAGGCACAGGGCAGCCCAAGCCTCCAAAAGAAAGGCTAAATGAGGAGTTGGACAGAGGGGACTGAGGCAGGCTATTCAACTTTGGAGACCTGGGGAGAAAATGCTTGCTGGTTAACAATATTAACAATCATCACCAGAATGTTAATGACTACTAAAGACTCTGATCAACCTTTAGGTGTACTTACACTTAATTCTACTATTGTCCCAGTTTGTGGATGAGAAAACTAAGGATTAGAATAAACCAGAAATTTCTGTTTATGGCATTATGGTATACTCAGTAACCTGCAAACTAAAGTCCACAAAGCATTTGACTTGCTTAACAAAACAACACATCCTTTTAATCACAAAAAGGAGTTTACAAGTAGTTTGATCCTCAAGTATCAAAATCAAAGGGTGAATCATATTAGAGCAGTAGATAGATATGGCAGCTACGCCTTGGGGGCTGACTGGGATAAGTGACTGGACTCACTGAATAAGGAGCTTGGATTTTAATGGCTTTAAGAAGATATAAAATGAGGTGCTAAACCTGTGTAAAGTGGGGAGTTGGTACTGAGATTCCTCCACATAAAGTTACGGGCTTATAAGAGTTACACCCTCAGTGAAAAGACACAACAGGTAGAAATTCACCCACTGGGACAGGAAGACCACAAGAAAATCTAACTCTCTCTCCTGGGCTCTGGGCAGGGAATAAAATGGCTTCCCTGAGAATTTGTATTCATAGTTCTTCTATCATAAGAGTTTAGAGTTTTAACATAAATTAATTGGGTAGTCTAGAAAGCTCCAAAATGAGGATTTAACATAAAAAATTATCTTAAGCAAGTGAGATCTCCTAGGGCACCCAACAGAAACAAATGAAGGGACCTACCTTTAACCTGGACCATTCCCAAGTCCCATATGTAAAGCCTTTCTGAAAATGAGTTCACAATCCAAAATCACAATGCAAAAGGAAAAGGTCCATCATGAATGAAAGTCAGCAGTCACAATAAACAACAGGAAAGACCTTCAAATAATAGAACAATCAAATAAAGACTATAAAATAAATGTTTCAATTAACTGAAGACATAAAGGAAGGAATAAAAACATGAAAGATCAAGACACTATCAATAAAGACCACTCATATGTGAAAAAGAATCTCTAGAAAACAAAAACTGAATTATTGAAAATAGAATCTTGGTAGATTGGCTATTAGCAGATAAACACACCTCAAGGGAGACTTGGTAAACAAGAAGCTAAAGCTGGGAAAATGTAACATAAGAAATAAAGAGAAGAAAAATATCAAAGAGGTCAGTACATAAGAAAAAAAGAATGGGAAAAATCCAAGATACATCTAATAAGAATTCCAGAAGGAGTGAAAATAGAATAAAAGAGAGATTATTCAAAGACACAGTGTTAAAAAAAAAAAAGAGACAGAAGGCCCAAAATGGAGTCATTTGTGCTAAGCCCACATCACCAAACTCAGACTTAATACTTAACCTAACTGCAGATTCAGCCTTTATTAAAAATGTAATCTTAACTGGTGAGGCTGGAATTACCTGGTCAACACTGGTGGCCCCTGCCATCCCCCAAAGGAAGTTGACCTTGCCTAGACAACCCACTCTTTGCAAGTAACATCATCCTGCCCACTTCTGCCTATAAAAGCCTCCCATTTTGTACAGCTCTTTGGAGTTCCTTTCAAATTGCTAGATGGAATGCTGCCCAATTCATGAATTGTTGGATAAAATCAATAAGACCTCTAAAATTTATTCAGTTGAATTTTGTTTTTTAACAACAGGAAACCTCTGACTCAGGAAATACAATGAGTCCTAAGCATAGCAATTAGAACTAAATTCATACTAAATGTATTGTGCTGAAACTCCAGAACACTGAAGACAAAGAGGAGCTCTAACAATCAAGCAGAAGAAAAGGCAGGATACTTAAAAAGGAGCAATAATAATTAGACTGACAGTAGACACCTCAGTAGCATCACAGAAACTAACACAGGGGACTAACATCTTCAAAGTACAAATAGAAAACAGGATTTCGACTTAATCATTTACAAGTGAGGTGAAAATAAAACCATTTTCAGACAAGCAAAAGAGAGTGTTAGCCACTGAAAAATTTATCATTGAAAGGACTATGAAAGCATGCACTTCAAAAAGAAGGAGGTGGAAACTAGAAGTAAGAAGTTGGAGATACGAAGAAATAAAAAATTAACTGGTAAATATTTTGGTGACTCTGAATAAATAATTCATTGGCTCTATAAAATACTGATGATGATGACGACTAACACTGGGAGGACCATAAGAGGTAATCTGAATTAAAGCATTCCAAGCCCTTCTGTTGTTCGTGAGAAGGATAAGGATATTGATCAACTTTAAATTTGTTTAGACTTGATGTCAACTATGCATGTTAAATTTTTAAGGAAATCAGAGAGAGAGGGAATTACATTCAGTCGTGGTAACTATTCGGAAAAAATAAACAAATAAACCAGGGAAAGGAAAATAGGGAGTAATGAGGAGAGAGAAGTGGCTGGTGGAGGGGAAAAGATAGAATAAAGAAAACTCAATCCAATAGAAAGCAGGAACAGATCATTTCTCAGCATTAAAAAAAAAATCAGAACAAATAATAGAAAACAAGAAGTAGAAATAAACCTAAAATTATCAATAAATACAAGTAGACTAAACACACCAGCCAAAAAGACAAAGATACCAGATTAGGGTTTTTTTTAATTACAAGAGACTCACCGAAATACAAGTATGCTACAAGTTTAAAAGTATAGAAAAATTATGCAAAAAAAACCCCAGAGCTATATTAATATCAGACAATTTTGTAAGTAAAAGCATTAAGAATTCAGGAGAGTTCTTGCATAATATCAAAGGAACAATTCACCAAGAAGAAATGTACACCATGACCTTTTACTCACTTTGTGATAATCCAAAGTGTCCAAAAATGACAGAACTACAAGGAGAAAAAGACAAATCGCCAAACTTTTCTCTTTCAGTGATTAGGTAGACAAAGAAATCAGGAAAGATGTGGATTTGGACAATGCAATTAAAAGGCTGGTCTGACGAACATCGTGTAGACTACTGAATCTTTAAAAAAAAAAATGCATTCTATTTAGAGAATGCATATCCTTTTCAAGCACGTAAGCATCAGTTATAAAACTGACCACTTGGCTGGTCACAACGCAAGTCTCAACAAATTGCAAAGAATCAGCATAATAGAGACCACAGGCAAAAAAGTGAGAAATCAATAACTAAAAGATTACTTAAACACATATATATTTGGAAATTCAAATTTGTAATTTTAATTACCACAAGATAAACAGTGGGTATTTTTCAAGATTTACTCTCAACGGAGAAATAATTCTGCAAATAGAAAATATTTAGAACTAAAGAAAATGAAAATACCATATTTCAAAACCCATAGGAAGAAACCAAAGTTTTAAAGGACATTCTGTAGCTGTAAATGCTTACATTAGAAAAGTTGGCTGAACATTAATGAGCTGAGTATCAATCTTAATAAGGTAGAAAAAGAACAGAATGAACCCAAAGTACACAGAAGGAAAGGAATAATAAAGTTAGAGCAGTCGACAAAGTATGAAACAAACTTACAAGAGCAAGGTTTGGCAAAACACAAAATGGTTCCTTTTAACACTAATCGTGATAAGAACAGGAGAGGCAGGTAATGAAGTGGTAGGAAGTCAGCTCTGGAGCTGACTGCTTCATTGGAGTCCCCACTCTGCCACTTACCAGCTGCATGGCTGTGGGCACGTGACTTGTGGCTGGCACTGGTGGAACCACAGCTCAAACCCTGGACTGCGGACCCTGGTGCCCAGGCACTAACTGGTTATTCCTACAGTAGGACTTTCGGGTGTGTACTCTGAAGAGAGTATCATCCTTCCATAATGAACCCGGGTATTATTATACCCACTTAACAGATAGAGAAACTGAGGTTTGAAGAATATATGTAATTCTCCTCAAGTCATGAAATAGGAAGCATTGGAGATGACTCAAGACCAGATCTTTCTGACTCTGAAGTCTGCCCTCTTAACCACCATGCTCATTAATGAGAGGTGAGGAAAATCCCTGTTGGCCACTCACTGTATACTCAACTTCAGGGAAAACGTCTTTTCTAAGGCAGAATATAAAAGAGAAGGGGCAAACGCACCCTTGCTCATGGACAGAAGTTCTTACTTTTACTAATAATATCCCAGTGGTTAAGATTACAGAGTCTGGAATTAGAAATAATAATAATTGCTAATATTTATTAGATACTTACTATGTGCCAAGCATAATGCTAGCCTCTTTATTCCTTACAACATCCCCTCCCTTTTTTTTTCTTTTAACATTTTGCCAATTTTATGTCACTGATCCTCCATCTCCACATGCAGGTGTCTCCCTTCCCTTCCCCTTTCTTCATTTCTTTGCTCTAAAATTCTAAAGTAAACCCCAGACTATGTATCATTTCATTTGTAAATACTTCAGTATGTTTCTCTTATGAAATGGGCTTTTTTTCTTTTTTTACAAAACCGTAATACTCCTATCACACCTTTCTTAATGTCATTCAATACACATCCAAGGTTCAGATCTCATGTTCAGATCTCACTGACCGTAGAGAAAACAATGAACAGACGCACACACCTTGCACGAGGCCAGCCACACAGAAGGCCCAGGCAAAGGCAGGAGCTACTATGTTTGGTACATGATAAATGGTGACCGAGGACACTGGAGTGTCACGCTTTCTCCACATGGGGGTTGAACCAGAATGACGAGGCCTGAGATGATGGCTGAGGGAAGGTGAAATGAAAGGGGACAACTGAATTCTACTGGGCACAATTACATGCTAGGTTCTGTGAATGCTCTTCCTTGTACCAAATTACTCAGTTTCAGAGAGAGCTACTGAAATTGAATGGTTAAACTGCTGAGGACAAGTAGCCTTATATCCTAGAATTCCATACCGAGTGCTGGCTAATTTTATTACAGGGGAGAATCACAGGCTTTCCCCACCCTGGGCTGCCCTCAGAGGTCAGCGATGTGGACCAAGAGCAAAGTGCAGGCGCTCTCTCCCCACATCTGGTGAGTTAGGACGTAGGCAGCCCACGAGCATCTGTGTGAGTTTGGGTGCAGGCGATAGGACAGGACATGATGGCAAAGATGGGCACCCTGAGCCATCAGTCTCGCAGACTCTTAGTGTCCCAACAACGTCCCTTTCCGCAGGCTCTATTATTGTCCCACAACACAGATCAAGCACCTCAGATGCAGAGAAGTTAACCTCACACACTACAGACTGAAAGAGGCAGGATTCCAATCCAAGCCACCTAACACCAGAGCCTACAGTGTAATCCACACCAAACTCCTTGGGGCTCAACTTCCTTACCCACTGATTGGGGGTGACAATATCCACCCCCTCTATCGAACTGTGAAGAGGACCTGAGACAAGGAGATAAAGCCACCAGCACAGTGTCTGGTGATGAAGGAAACGACAGTGATGACAACTGGTACTTGCAAAGATACAGGCACACAGGGATGTTACCACTCCTAACTGCTCCAGACTAACTTACCACATAAAATCTTCACAAAGATACCTTTGCTTCCATTTCGCTCTCACAAATCCTCCAGAGGACACTTGTGCTCTATGAAAATTAGCTCTAAGCTAATTTTCAAAATCAAAATCATGGCGTTTCATATTATATGAAGACATGAAGAAAAGTATTTAAAAGAATCTAACAAAGCAAACTGCAGAGATGTTGGGATAGAGGGGGCAGCTCACATTACCCAATAGAGTAAATCTAGACTTGAACTTAAGTTTTTTAGAATTCTTGAAATATCAGTGATGGCAGCGTCAAAGACCAATTAATCAGGTTGTTTGTTCTCTGTGTGTGAGTCCCTGTTGCCATCTACAGTTGAAAACAGGGCATGCATGCAACACTGCCAAATTAACAAAACCTAGTCTTGAGGACGCCGGCGCTAAGAAAATATGCTCATACAATGAGTACAGCACATGGAAATGTTACCTGGAGGAGCAGCTCTTTTTCAACCACCTCTTCCGTCTTGCTGATGAGATGCTTCTGCAGGGCATGAATTTTCTGAATCAGCTCAAAGGTACTGGGGTCACTGGCCTGTTCAAAAGGAACAAAATTAAGCAGCCAAGATGATCAGTTTCAAAGCACTGAGGTCCCTATGCAAAAATCAATGTTTTCTGAAAATCGACTGCAAAGCTGTAGACCCAATACAGAGAGAATCAGAACCAAAAAAAAAAAAAGTATAACAGATGAGACATCATCAAAATAGACTGATGTCTGGCTAATGTTTTATCTGTTACCTCTAGTTAGTAGATAAATGGAAAGTTAATATGTTTATTTCACCAGGGGAAATAGTAACCACAATATGACAGCTACAGGGCATCAAACCTGACTCTTCACCACCATCCAGAAACCAGGCTGAGTGCTTTTCAAATATTAAATATTAGTCACATGACAGCCCTCTTAGACAGTATTATCTTCCCTTTTTACAGATAAGGCATCTGAGGCTCAGAGGAGGAAGTCATTTCCCCACACTGATAAAGGTCGAGCTGGATTCAAGCCCAGATATGTCTGGCTCCAAAGCCTGGGGTTTTTAATTACTATGCTCTGAGGTTTCGCTACTGTCATCTCTGCTTCCATAGGAATGAGACGGGGCTCCCTAATTCATTCCATCTCAGGATTCTCCTTTCCTAATTGTCAACAAGAAGATTCATTACAGCCTATGAGGGGGATGTCTGCTAATAATTGGCAGCAGAACACAGCCATGGTGTTGGTGTTTAGCTCTCAAACAGCGTTATCAATCCCGAAAGCTTTGATGTGCCTTCAGTCTATGCATAATTCAAACAAGATCTGCAGTTATACCTTGATAATTTGTCCTCTGGACTTTGAGCCAAAGCTTCACTTCCAACTGTACTGACACTCAGAATTAATTTAGCAGCTAAATATCTTCAGCTGCCTCCCAGAGTCTCTACTTTCTAATTTTTTTAATAGAAATTGACATGAATTGGAAACTTCAAAGATCTGCTTGAAAACACATGGAAGAAAACTACTGTGACAGTAAACGAATTTAAAATCTTTAGCCCCACTTCCCCAGACACAACCGTATCATTGTTTAGTAAACTACCCGA